TCCATCTTATCTCTTCGGTTGCTATCCCAATGTACTTGAGGCTACACGGTGATGACGACGACGATGATGATGATTGTGATGATGATATCGATGATGAAGATGATGAAGAAGAAGACGATAATGATTGTGATGATGATAACGATGAGGATGGCGACGATAGCCATGATGATATTTTAATGTCTCGCGCATGCACATGCAAGAAAAGTTAGACAAGGATTTAAACGATAACATGGAAAATGCATTTACAACAACAACAACAACAACAACAACAACAATATCAACAACAACAACATCAACAACAACAACTACAACAATAATAATAATAATTCTGTAGGTAGGGAATGCACGGTTCAATGAGATTATGACTTCAGCGTGACCAATCATATTTGACGTTTGGTCAGTGTCATTATTATTATCATTATTGCTGTTGTTGTTATTATTTTTGTTGTTGCTGTTTTGTTGTTATTATTGTTGTTGTTTTAGTGTCGTCGCGATGTTTTATTATTTTAATATCGCCTATTTCGAAACAAAGAAAGATTAATAATTCCAGAGAACCTCAAGCAACAAAAGCCAAGAGAACAATAGCGATAATAATAATAATAACAATAATAATAACAAAAATAAAAATAATAATAACAATAATAATAATAATAACAACAACAACATTAGCAATAATAATAGTGAATAATGAAATAAATAAGCAAAAAAATAAGCAAAATTTGAATTCCAAAGATAACGAATAAAACTCTAACCATTTCCTTTCTTCGAAATCGTGACGTCATCGTAGTTGTTGTTATTGTTATTATTGTTGTTATTATTGTTGTTATTATTATTTGTGATTGTTGTTATTGTTGTCGAATCGTCTGTAGAGGAATCGTCAAGCAATCTGTTTCTATCTATAACACTGGTGATCAGCTGATGGGGGTTATTATTATTATTGTTGTTGTTGTTGTTGTAGTTGTTATTGTTGCTGTCGTTATTATTATATTTTAGATAATTATCATTATGGTGATGACGTAAATGTGATAAAAAAAATTATGACCAAGACGACAATGATGAAGAAAATGTAGATACAAATCCGGTTAGTGGTAAAATACACCTTGAACAAGAGCGCGCTATAAAAATGAATAAAAAGACAATACAAAAAAAACATGAAATACAACTACACCAATCACACAACTATACCCAAAATACAAAAATAATGACAAGTACAAATACAAAAAAAGCAATCAAACACTGCTTATAAATAGTTTGAAGCCAAACAGTCTATCCATTTAAACAACGACAACAACAACAACGATGACAACAACAACATTAACAACTAACAACAACACAAACCGGTGATGTAACATTGGTGTTTTTGTTGATGTTGTTGTTGTTGATGTTGTTGTTTATGATAGATGGTGTGATGAGAGTCGATCTTGAGTTTAGCGTGCAGGTCTGCGATTGTTGTGTTGTTTATTTTTTTTATAATGTTTTTGAATTTGAAAATTCACCACGTACATGCTAAAGGTTCGAGTTAATGTCGGTCTACATGAATTCATTTTAAATTTGAAAAAAAAATATTACTAATTGACCTCAATGGCACACAAATCAACTGCTCAACTACGTGAAACTTTCATTCATTCATTCGTCTGAAGGTCATTCTCTATCCACTCATCCATCAATCAATCAACAAGCCAGCCAATCAATCAATCATTTATCAATCAACCAGCTAATCAAATCACTCAATCAATCAACAAGCCAATCAAATCACTCAATCAATCAATCAACAAGCCAATCAAATCACTCAATCAATCAACCAGCCAATCAAATCACTCAATCAATCAACCAGCCAATCAAATCACTCAATCAATCAACCAGCCAATCAAATCACCTCACACACTCACCATTGGTGCCGAACTGTCAGTAGGACAGTTTCTTCCACCATAGCAATCATTTCTCACGAAATATTCATTCTTTGCCTTACATGTGACATCCGCATTGCCACTGCTGTTCAAATTATTAACTCCACTACCGACAATATAAGTACCGCTAGTTGACAAGTTTCGAAACGCCGAACTCTCCTTACTGATAAAACCGTTAGCTTTCTCGATCACTTTTTGCTCTTGCGATCTGCAGTGGTACGTATCGCCTCTAATCGCTCCGCCATTACCGACTGTGTCCATCCCCGCCATCTCCCTTGCTCTCCGTCTGTCTCGAGTCTTTACCGCTACAATCGCTACGATCAGCAGCAAGCCGATTATAACCGATACCGCCACGACACCGAACACGAGTACCGGACCGTGTTTAGAGGCCAGGCCACGTAGAAAATTTTTTGTCCCTCCGACAAATTCGCCACCATCTCCGTCTGACGCAATGAACGCAACTTCTTCGTCCACTATTATCGTCATCCTGATGGTGACTGACAGACCACCGCCGTCTTTGACGGTGACTAACAATCGGTAGCGACTGAAAGAGAGGGAGGAGAAGTCGCGAGAAGTCGTCAGGTGGCCGTTGATTGGGTCAATTTGAAAAGCTGGCGGTGGTAGCTCTTTTATTATTATCGGTGGAGTTGATGATGATGAGGAGGAGGATGAGGAAGATGAAGATGAGGATGACGTAATGGATGGATGAAGATCGAACACGACGACACTGTACGTCAAGTTGGCATTGACACCTACGCGAAAATTTAATTTTAAATTATAATCATCATCATCTTCGTCGTCATCGTCATCAGCGTTACCAACATCACCATCATCGTCGTCGTCTTCATCATCAAGACAACAACAACATCATCATCATCATTATCACCTTCATCTGCGTCGGTAGCAACGAATGTGCAGATCTCAAAACCGACCGGTACTTGATTTGATAGTGTTGTGCTTGTGACATCAATCGTCTCCAAAAGGTTCTCTTCATCAACATTTTCATGCTGTTTGTCGATCACCAATTCGTCGGTAGTACCGTGACCGAATCTCGGTCTTTTTATATCAATTATTTTCGGTTTGTTATCGTTAGCATCACTGATTTTAACAATGACTTCTGTTGTACCGGATAGCATGGCGTTACCGGAATCGATCGCTCTTACTTTGAATCGGTATTCGGATACCGATTCTCTGTCGAAAGTTGCGGTAGCTAGTATTTGACCGTTTCTAACGTTAACGCTAAAGAAAATTGGCTTCTTACTTCTCTTTGGCATGTGGTTGTTGTGGTGGTATTTGAAATTGCCGCTGCTATGAATTCGGCGATTGAAATAATCTTTGTTGTTGTTGTTGTTGTTGTTGTTGATGTTGTTGTACGAATCCACCGAATCAATTGGATGGTATGTGATGCCATTTTCGTTTTTGTTGTTGCTGCTGAAAATGACGTCTTCCTCTTCATCCATTAACTCGTACAGGAAATTGTTGTTTGGGTAGGAATCGGCGTCTATCGCTGTCACTATTCCCACTTCAGTTCCTTTGGGAGAAAAAAAATTCACTATGACGTCATCAAAAAATTATCTAATTAAATGATTAATCTAATTCAATATGGCGTCATCAAAAAATTATCTAATTAATTAATCAATCTAATTTACTTTGGCGTCATCAATAAATTATCTAATTAATTGAATAATAATTGGGTAATTAATTTAGTTAACAAAAACTTAATTAGCGAACAGAGACCGGCTTGATTATTTTCTTGCACAACGAAATGGTAGGAGCTTGCTGTGAAGGTTGGTGCCTCGTCGTTCACGTCGTTTATCTGGAAGTTAATGATGATGACAATGATATTGAAAAAGAAGAAGAAGATGAAGATGAAGAAGACGAAGGAGATGAAGAAGAAGAAGATGAAAAAGATGAAGAAGAAGATGAAGAAAAAGAAGATGAAGAATGTGAAGGAGATGAAGAAGAAAAAGATGAAGAAGACGAAGAAGATGAAGAAGAAACAAATGAAGAAGAAGAAAAAAAAGATGAAGATGATGATGATGATTGTGATGTAATGTAATGATACATATGATACATAGGTGCTGGTAATAAAATACCTCCGATGAAAATTATGATGTTATCATCTTGACAAACACCATCCCTGTCATCATCTATATAATTCTCATCATCATCATCATCATCTTTATCATCATCATCTTCTTCTTCTTCTTCATCATCATCATCATCATCATCATCACCACCACCATCATCATAATCATCATCATCAACAACAACAACAACATCATCGTCATCGTCGCAAAAGAGATATTCCATACAAACTTTTATCCTGACGCTGGCATCTGCTTCTCGGGGCGGAATGCCACAATCCACGACCCTGACCTTGAAATTAATCTCTTTAATCTTCTCGTAATCCAATACAGATGCGGTTCTCAACCGACCGGTATTCTCGTCTATTGATACCAGACTCGACGATAATTTTGTCTCCATTATCGAATATTTGAGTCTCGAATTTTCGCCATCATCTCTGTCGCTGGCAGAAATCTGTTTTCGTAGTATTAAAAAATAATTATTTATAATTATTATTATTATTATTATTATTATTGTTATTATTATTATTATCGTCATCTTACGCAATTTACTGTGATAGGAACACGATTTGAACGTAATTTAATGCTGATTCTATTTTTCTTCGTGCCAATTTAAAATGTATGGCGAGCATTGTGGAATATCTATTATAATTTACATTATACGTTTTATTACTTTAACTTTACAATTACAACCTAAGTTTTAAAATGAAAATAAAAGGATGTTCTCATTAGTAGTAGTAGTAGTAGTAGTAGTAGTAGTAGTAGTAGTAGTAGTAGTAGTAGTAGTAGTAGCAGTAGTAGTAGTAGTAGTAGTAGTAGTAGTAGTAGTGGTAGTAGTAGTGGTAGTGGTAGTGGTAGTGGTAGTGGTAGTAGTGGTAGTGGTAGTGGTAGTGGTAGTGGTAGTGGTAGTGGTAGTGGTAGTAGTAGTAGTAGTAGTAGTAGTAGTAGTAGTAGTAGTAGCAGTAATAATAGTAGTAGTAGTAGCAGTAGTAGTAGTAGTAGTAGTAGTAGTAGTAGTAGTAGTAGTAGTAGTAGTAGTAGTAGTAGTAGTAGTAAAAGTAGTACATCTGGTCAGGTTTTTTCATTTGCTGACAAAAGCTGTCATAATTAAATAATAAAAAGTATTTTTTTTAAATATTACAAATTATAAATTAATTAAAAATAATAAGATAGAGCGCTCACCATATTTATAGTGCTATTCTCAGGCGTGTTTTCATCAATTTCAAAACTGTACTGGGGATGGCTAAACTCCGGCGCGTTGTCATTCTCGTCGACGATCCTGGCATAGATATCGACCGATGACGTCAGAAACGGTCGGTTATTGTCGGAGCATTGTATTCGAATTCGGTACGATCGGATCGATTCAAAATCCGGTGTGATCAGTGTCGATAACTGATAACCCGGTGACATTTCTTCTAATTTGAACTCGTTTTTTGAGTTGTTCTGCTCGCATTTAACAGTATCTGTGAATAGGGGCGTTGATTTTGAAATAAATGCTACAAAGTTATCGGTATTTCGATATTTTTCAAAATCTGTAAACTACAATGAATTACCTTACATTAAACATTTATATATCGCATCATCATCGTCATCGTTTTTCATCATTATTATCAATATTTCCCTAATGAAAATGCTTGCCATAACCAACATAACAACAACAACAATAATAACAATAACGATGATGATAATAATAATAATAATAATAATAAATATTAATAATAAATGATAACAATAATCATTACCTCCGTCTGGATCTGTGACGTAGATGAAGGCGACAAACAGCCCTGGATTAGCATTCTCCGTAATATTCGCCACATAGTTCCTCTCATCATCGTCGTCGTCGTCATCACCATACTCCATACGATGATGATGATGTTGTTGATGATGATGTTGATGATGATGTTGCCGATGTTGTTGTTGCTGTTGTTGCTGGTTGTTGTTGTGCTGGTGCCTTGAACCGGCTGTATATACATTCATAGTTGGCGGGTTGTCGTTCACATTTTCAACCTGGTATGTTGGAATATTGAAAATTAATTTAAGTTTATTAATCAAAATCCTAACAATATTATTTTTTTTAAATGTTATTCTTAAGTTTAGTCAATTAGATAACACAACAATCAACAAAACGACCTTAATTTCAAGGGTTTGATATCCTGTCAGCGGTTCCTGACCATGATCCACCGCCAGGATGCGGATCTGATGGGACTTTTCCTTCTCGTAATCCAGATTCCTTCTCAGGAACAACTGGCCAGTCATTTCCTCAATCCTAAACATCGAACCTTCATTTTCGGTTGCATCCCCGCTACTGGCCATCCTGCTCAAGTGCGAATCTTCAATGATGGAGTAGGTGATCTGAGCGTTCACGCCACTGTCATCGTCAAATGCTTCAGCCCTATAGAATGACTCCGTGACATTGTGGTCCTCTCTTACGTAATAATCTTTGAATTCTTCTTTAAATTGCGGTGCGTGATCATTAGCGTCGTCGATATTTATCGTAAGTACCGACGAACCGATTAGAGTCGGATCGCCACCGTCCAGCGCCTCCAGCGTCAAGTTGTACGGCCCAAGCGGCAGATTTAATGGCTTTTCTACCTTCAAATAGGGAATGATGGTGTTTGTTTCGTTGTCCAGTTCTTCGTGCAGTTTGAAAAAACTTTCGAAGCTTGGTCTCACCTTGTAGCCCATTGAAAACTGCGGAGTCTCGGCCGCCAGTCGATACTTTTTCACTCCATTGACTGAAGAATCGCGATCGGTGGCTATCGGCAGAGCTATCAGCGTTCCTTTTTTGATGTTCTCCAACAAATTCATGAAATAAATCGATTGAGAGAAGATTGGTGCATTATCGTTGATGTCTTCGATATAAATTTTTACCGATACGGTCGATTCCAGCTGTTGCATCCTCATGAGGCCGATGTTGAACGTGAGAAAGCAATTCTCATTCTCATCTCTGGCGTTGTTGTTGTTGTGCTTGTGGATTTTGTGATGTTTCTTATTCAGACTGTGGTGGCTGGCGACGTGATGGCTACTACTGCAGCCGGGAAGTGTCTCGCGATCGATCGCAATGGACGTAGTCTTCAGAGTGTGGTCGCCGTGAATGTAGAAGTGCTTGTCTTGACCGTCACTCTGAGTGAAGATGACAAATTCTGTTTGTAATAATATATTGTGGTCAATAGATTGGGCTAGCTTTGCTTTCAAAACGCCAACTGTTGTATTGGGCACTGAGTGTTCTCTCACGGAGAGAGTTAAAACAACGTTGCTAGCACTGGCGATTTGTGGTGAGAAGATGGCGAGGATGGTGAAGGCGAGGAAGAAGATGATGTTGGTCCGTCTGATGAGAGGTGGAATCAAGTTGGCGATCGCCGTGTTCGCGATCTTTGCGATCGATTTGATGTTTGTCGGCGATGCTGTTGAGTTTGCTGGTTGATGTGTTTGGCTGGGGTGATCATTTATGTTGTTGTTGTTGTTGCTTTTTTTATTTCTGTTGTTGATTTCGTTGTTATTATTATTATTACTATTGCTATCATTATAGTTATTATTATTATTATTGTTTTTGTTGTTGTGGTTGCTGTTGTTGTTGTTGTTGCTGTTGCTTTTTACATTTCTATTGTTGATTTCGTTGTTGTTATTATTATTGCTATCATTATAGTTATTATTAGTATTATTATTGTTTTTGTTGCTGTTGTTGTTGTTGCTGTTGTTGTTGTGGCCTTCGTTTTTTGGTCCGTAGCAATAGCGATCGAACATCATTGATTCGTATCAGATTACAATCTTAAGCGCTAGATAAATTATTGCATTGGAAGTAATCAAAAAAAAAAAAGAAAAAAAAAGAAAGAAAAGAAGACAAGACAAAGATCTAATATAAATTACATCAATAATAATAGCATTAAGAACGATGGCTATAATATGACAATAAAACGACAACGAAGATCATTATTAAAGTAGAATAATAATAACAACAATTATAATAATATTAATAATAACAACAACAACAACAACAATAATAATAATAATAATATAATGATGATGATGATGATGATCGTCATCATCATCATCATCATCAACAACAACGACATCACTATAAACATCTTAATCATCGTCATCATCGCCATAATCATCATTTGGAGAGCACTCGATAAAAGTTAATCTAAACTTGTTTCTGTCATTGTCGTCATCATCATCATCATCATCATCATTGTTATCATCATCATCATCATCGTCATCATCACTTTCTTCATTAATTATGGTTTTGTATTAGCGCTTATCTTTGACTGAATTTGTTGATTATTATTGAAGCGTGCCAATGAATATAGATACGAACATACAAACACAAACACACACACACACAAACACATAGACACAAACAAACACACACACACACGTTATTGTTATTATTGTTATTGCTATATCGTCATTATTATTATTGTTGTTGTCCCTGATTAATAGATTTGGTTCATGTTTCTGTTAATTATTATCGACTTTTAGTGGCCTTGTATCGTGTTTTCGCTGCTATGACTGTTGTTATTATTGTTGTTATTTTTGTTATTTGCTTCTGTTACTCTATTATTATTATTACTATTATTATTGTTGTTGTTATTATTATTGTTGTTGTTATTATTATGGTTTAATTGAATTCAAGACTTTAACTCTGTCTATGTGGCCTAAAGGATCAACAATTCTTGACAAACTGTTGACGATTCTGCTGTTGATGTTGTAGTTTATGATGTCATCATCATCAACAACAAAAAAACGATAACAACATTAACAACAACAACAACACCAACAACAACATTAACAACAACAACATTAACAACAACAGCAGCAGTAATGACAGTAATTCAGCGACAGTAATAAGGAGAGAGCAATTAAAAGAAGTACAAATGATGGCATCAAACGCAACAAATGACGCAATAATGATAGATGACGTCACGCCATTGGTGATCACGTGATAGAAACATTGGACTGAACACAGGCATCATGTATGAAATATTCATTTGCTTGTTGTGTACATT